AATAAATAAGTAAGTAAGTAAATAAATAAATTTATCGTAGTCTTGGGCTTTAGCCTAATTAATTTTTTATGCTTTAATTCCAAAGTGCTCTTATTGATGATATAGAAAAGGGAAAAGAAAGTGAATATAGCAAGATAGAGAGAGAGAGAAAGAGAGAGAGAGAGACAGAGAAGACAGAGAGAGAGATACAGAGAGATGAAAGAGGAGGAAGAAATGTGGGAAAGGAAGACTGGGGATATGAAAGAAGGGGAATCAAATTTAAAATCACACCTAAATGGGACAGTTACTCAAGAAACAGGTTTCTCTGTTTAAATAGTTAAGACACAGTCTCAAACTCTTTTAAACAGATTATTAAGATAGAGAACACTATTAACTCATTTTATGAAGCTAGTATATATAACCTTGATACCCAAAGTAAAGGAGGCCAATATAAGAAAGAAAATTTACAGGGCAGTTTTTCTCATGAACAAGGATGTACAAATCATGGATTAAAACATTGGCAGCACGAATCCAGCCAAGTAGTAAAAAACAGATAACAAACCATCGTGAGGTAAGGTAGATTTTAGGAAAACAGAGTTAGCTAAACTATCAAATAATTTTATCACTACCATATTAGCAAAATAATGAAGAAAAATTTCTGAATATATTGATCAATGTAGAAAAAGGGGTTTGATATTCATCAAGAAGCATTCATGATTTTAAATAATGCAAGCCAGGAATGGCTAAGAACTTTTTAACCCGATAAAAGGTATCTACTATTTACTTAGAGAAAATATGAAATGCTAAATGCCACCATGAGTCTCTTTAAAATCACGAACAAGATAGGAATGCCCACTATTATGTCTATATCTAGTTCAACATTGTACTGGAGGTACAATGGAAGAAGGAAGGGAGAAAAAGAATAAAGCTGAATGATTTCAGATGATATGACTGTCTATATAGAAATCTAAAAGAATCTATAAATAAATTACTAGATATCAAGATCCTCCTAGTCAATACCTTTCTAGAATCCAGGGACAAATGGAAAATGGAATTCTAAAAATATTTATCTTAAAACATTGTCAAAAATATGAGTAGGAATAAATCAAAACAATAAGCTTTGTAAAGCTTCACTGAAGGACATGGAAGATGAGTTACATGGAGAAGTATGTTATGTTCATAAGTCAAAAGTTCCAAATTAAGCTAGGTGTGATGGCGCACACCTGTAACCCCAGCACTCGGGAGGCTGAGGATTGCTGCAAGTTCAAGGCCAGCCTGAACTACACAGTGAGTTCATGGCCAGCCTGAACTACATAGCGAGACCCTCTCTCTCTCTCTCTCTCTCTCTTTTTTGATACTGGGGATTGAATTTGGGAGCTTGCACTTACCATGTAGGTGTGGCACCACTGAGCTATATACCTGGCCCATGAGACCTCTTAAAAAACAAAATCAAAAACAAACAAACAAACAAAAAAGTTCCAAATGTATAAAAATGTTTAAAAACATATTAACAGAATAAAGAAGACAAACATATTCTCATATTGATAGATGGAAAAATATTACATAAAATCTAAAAACATGCACAATATATGTACAACTGTATGTTATAAAAAAAAATAAAAGCAAGAAAATCATAAACACAATACCACCTCAGCTATACTCCTGGAGCTAAAAGAATTTTGATTTTACAAATAGGACAACTAAGGTTCTTAGTTGTGCTTATCAGATTAATCTAAATCTGTGGTATACGACTGGTATCCCTCAAAACAAAAACAAAGCCTGAAGAGCAAGTTAGAAAATGAAATGATAAGTAGAAAGGGAAGAAGAAAGAAGAGATGTCTAGGCAGAGTTAGATTAGAAATATATCTTGATATTTTAAAAATCTGATGGGAAGCTCTTTAACCTATTTGCTAAAATGCACTTAGAAACATTCTCTAATGCAGAGTACACACCTTCCTGGTAGCTTGAGTGTAGACACTTCAGATACAAAACCCTGGTTACTTCAAGAACCCTTAGTCTTCTTTCATCAGCACATTGTGACACTTATTAATTAATTATATTAGTTAGTTGAACCTTGGTCCTGGAGAAGGTGAAAGTTAGGGCCAGCTAAACTGGGAGAGTAGTGCAGAAGGTAGTGGTGTGGAGCTCCTAGGAGTTTGTTTTTGTGTTTGGATCTTTAATCCAAAGTGAAATTGAGATTTGGAGGTACAGTGTGAGGTAGGAGTCCAATTTCATTTTTTTAAATGTGGATATCCAATTTTTCCAATGCCATTAATTGATAAGACTCTCCTTTCATCAGCTTCTTGGGTGGTGAAGCAAAAGATAGAACAAGAAAGTAGAAATGCGGGTTCCTGGAAATCTAGGCCTACAAAAGGAAAGGACACAGTTGTGTCAAGATCAGACCTAGCCTGAAAAAAAAGAAGTGAAGAAAACGGAGATTAGATCACCATCATGTTAATGCATACTAAATTGTTCACTCAACTAGGTAAGGAAATAATGGGGAGAGACAGCAAAGAAGCTAGAAGGAGTGAGCCAGGCTCCAGAAACACTGATGAAAAGACACAGGGAAAGGATAGATGGAGGATAACTCCTAGACATTGGCAGAAATCAGAAAGGTTGTGCCCAAGCCAAACAGGAAGAAAACATCTCTGCAATAGCACTCACCTGGTCTGGACCTATAGGGGGCCTGGTCCCCAGGATGCTGAAAGATGGATGGGTTGGTGCACTAAGAAGAAAGAGAAGTCATAAAAGGGGTTCTTGGAAGGAGGATTCCAGGCTGAGATTATAAGTAGAATGGAAGCAGGAAGAAGGAGGCACTGTAATAACAGAGACATGAGAACCATCTCAGTAACCAAGGGCCTGGTGGCTGCTTCTGTGGCAAAACAGCTTTGTCTTCGACCTGTATAATCATCCATAGTGAATGTGGTGTGATGTTATCCTGGGAAGGAGAAGCATGAGGGGGCTGGAAACCTGAAGGATGGGTGCAGGAACTTCCTCCTGACACTGCTTGCCCTTTGTACTTTCTCACCCTTGAAAACCCAAGTTGCACCCCCCTTTTCTCCCCTAAATCCTTCTTCTACCCAGTGGAGCCTGGTTCCTCTGCTACAAATCCACAGACCCCACACTCATGGGAGATAAGCAATAATGTCCATGTGCTTAAGGCAATTGGAATTTATGTTTTCAATCATGTGAAACATTTCAGTGTATTTTGAACTGTCTCTAAGAATGCCTGCACATGAATGCCACCATCCTGGCTGGAACAGGGGCAAAAATCCATGTTCTTCAGCGTAGGTGGAGAGAAGCCTACTGGGACCTCACTGACCCCTTGTATCTCATTGTACTTGTCCGTCCCACTCAACAGGTTTCTCACCTGAGAATTCTTGCTTAAACTATACCCTCCCCTACATGCCTATATTACACACCTAAGATATGTAGAAATTAATATACAGTCAGAGAGGGACTGGCTCTGAAGGAAGTCAGCAGAAAAATAAAAACATCAAAATTATGGGTGGAGGCACATCTGAAAAAGGCCAGGCCTCAAGACAGAGATGCAATAGCCAGGCCTACATGGCTCCCTAAGGCATAAAGAGTAACCTGGAATTATTCTGTAATTAGCACCACCTGGTCCAGTGAGTCCAGCTAGGCATCAGTTGCCCAGGTGGGTGACCAGAGCATCTGAATCCATCCCTCCCCAAACATACCTTTGTTCTTTCCATGTACCCTTGCTATGTGACACATTTCCCTATTAGATCAGTATTAGCTAAGTAGCTACACTTGTGATTGTATAGGAAGATTCCCGTTTAATCCGTGTTGTATCCACATTGTGACTTTGCTGTATAAATTTCCCCTGACAAAAGGCCTCAGTGGCAACCCACTTGAGACCCCGCTCTTGTCTGTCAGAAGCTATCTCTCAATAAACCTTTTCTACTCTTAACCTCTGTTGTTCCTTGAAATTCATTCTTCGATGAACTTGGCACATCTGACAACTAGCAGGTTGGGAGTTATGTTTCTCCTATATCATCAAAAACCTCTTTTGTTTTCCTTTGGGACCAAGTCCTTCTATGTAGAGGAGGTTGGCCTGAAAATCACAATCCTCCTTCCTTAGCCTCCCAAGTGATGACATTACAGGTGTATCACTGTGGCAGTGTCCCTACTACTTCCTCCATAAGTATTCACATGGGAAGGCATCTGTACCCACAAAGTTAGTCCTACTCTCATATCCACTCCCAGCCTGCCTGTATGAAGTGATCATCTATGCCCTCTCCTGACATTATTTGTAAGTTCTGCTACACTTAAACCCTGTCCTCTACTAGACTGTTGACATGTAGTTTCTCAAAGAGGCTCTAAATTCTTCCAGGACATAGACTGTCTTAGACTCCACAACAAAAGGAAGACACCCAGTTATGGTTTGGGTCTAGATTTTCCCCCAAAGCCTCATGTGGTCATAAGTGGCTTTGTCAGAGGTAGCTGAATCTAGAGTGTATGATGCTAGGATTAAAAGCATGTGATTACTAAACCAGTATAGTGATTGGTTTGGCACTGCCCTAATCCTGGTAGTATGGATTAGATAAAAAGAGGCAGAAAGACGCTGTTAAGGTCCTTTTGTTGCTTTTGCTGTCTTCCACTGCCATGATCTGTTTCTCCTCTGCGATGCTCCTCTGCCCTGTGCCACTCTGCCTTGGAGCCAGCCAACTATGGACTGAAGCCTCTACAGACTGTGAGCTAAATAAACCTTTTCCCCTTTAACTTCAGGTGTCAGGTATTTTGTCTCAGCAATGAAAGAAAAGTAACTATGACACACCCCCGTGGCATCCATGTTTCTGCCAACAGAAGGAAGATTCTTTATCCTGTGTCTATGCAGAGTAAATTGGAAACATGGGGAGAGAGGCTGCGATCTTCTACCCCCTTTTCTTCTTTCCCATTTTCCATTATAAGTGGGTCACAATATTGCCATGGTAACCAATAGTCATAGAGCACAGACTTATGTATTCTCTTGGCCACAGAGACTCAAAACTCTGGAACATTTCTCACATCACCTGTTCACAAGGGAAGACTTTTAGAGCTTATCTATCAGGTAGGCAGCCATCAGGGCAGGGCACTGCAGCCCGGGAATGTGTGTGTGTATGCCCATGTGTTCTTCTACACCCATTTAATAGCTAGAGCATCATGGGAAAAAGTAGGCTAAATATGCTACCAGCTGGTACTATGATGACCACATAAATATATATAAGCTTTCTGGAAAGCAATTTGCTATGGACTATCATAAGACTCCAATATACTGTATGTCTGAACTTATGTCCATAGGTCCCATATACAGAAATATGACAGAAAGGGACTGACATTATAGACACACAAACTGGTCCCCCAATATGCCTACTACCTCTTGTCTTTTGTGTTCTTTGGATTTGTGTGGAGACCAGATCTCTCTAAGTGGTCTAGGTAGGCCTGAACTTACAATTCTCCTTCCTCTGCCCTCAAGTGCTGAGATTATAGCCTGTGCCACTATACCCACCTCTCTTCTACCTCCTCCATAGCTTTGCAGATCCAAGACGTCACCCCAGGAGGTTATTCCTGGTCTCCTACCCACTCCCAGCCTGCCTGCATGAGGTGCCCTTCTAAATCCTCTCATGATATTATTTGTAAGCTCTTCTGCTGCACTCTTTGGCCTCTACCAGTCAGTTGATTTGTATCTCCTCAGAGAGGTTCTGACTTCCCTGAGGACAGAGATCATCTTAGATTCCACAGTAAAAGAGGAAGAGACTCGTATATCACTCATGCTTCTGCCAACAAGAGAAATGTTCTTTAGCCTGACTGGTGTGTGTACAGAATATTTTAGAAGAAAGTGAATAGAACCTGTGGTCTGTTGCCCCTCTTTCTTTTCTTTTCTGTCTTTTATTATGACTTTGTTCAGATACCACCATGGCAATCAATAGTTATACAACACAGACTTATGTTTTCTCTTGGCCACAGAGAGTCAAACTCTGCAGGATTTCTCACATCCCCTTGTCAAGATTAGAGATTGAGAGCTTATCTTTCAGGTGAGCAGCCGCCAGGACAGGGCACTGCAGACTGAGAATGTGTGTGTGTGTGTGACCACATACTCTTCTTTTATTACTTAAGCACATAACTCTGTTCTTCTTCCCGACATCTTTTCTTCATTTTCTTCTTCTGAAGCCTCAGGACTTGACGGAGACTGAAGACACAACCCTATAATTTCATGGCAACCCTAAACCCCAGCAATGACTGCTCAGACTCAGAGCAGTCCCATTTGAAAATGAATTCGATGGAGAGTCACGCAGGGAGTGATCTCCCTGCTTCCCACACCTTCCACAAAGAGACCAAAGCCCCCTCCAAAGGTTGTATCTGTTGCCGTGAGACGACAACCTTCTATGACGGATGTGTTGTAGGTTCTTCAGTCAACAACCTCCCTATGATTGAAGAACCAGATGACACACAAACTCTAGGAAGATACATGGACAACAAATACAGCATTGAGGACAACCCAAACCATGTGTGTACACCAAGCACTGATGTGGAAGGGAATGAGGACACAGACTCAGACAGTGAAGGCACAGGAGCTGATCAGATTGTCACTGCCAATGACCTGCAGATAAATATGAATTCAACATACAGAGGGCAACAGATTGACCCCACGGATGGTTGGCCAGAAAGTCAGCTTGTCATTCTTGAACCCCCTGAGAAACGTAAAAAAGATCGTAACAATGAGGAGAACAAAGAAGAAAGTGAATATCAGGAAGCTAATAAACAAGTTGAAAACTGTGAAAACCAAGCTGAGGGCATGCTAATGCAATCAACTGAACAAGAAAAAAAGGACACCGAAAAACAGAACACCAAAGAAACCCAGAGTAATGAAGAAGTATATGCAGAGCTTCATGAACAAATTCAGGTGTATGAAAGACCTGATAACACCATGCTACCTGATTCTCATGAGGACGACAGAAAAGAGCAGAATGAGAACCACAAGGAGAAGGAAGAAATACAAAACAATGAAGAATATCAGGAACCTGGTAAATAAAATCAGAACAATAACAAAGCTGATGACCTCCTGCTTCAGGGACTCCCTGAGAAAGATTTCCACCTGGGCAGCAGTGCCCCTCCTCATCCGGCTCAGGTCCCTTGTGAAGAACACCATACACACGAGGACCTGCCTAACTGCAAACCACAGGAAAATACAGAAGTCACCCAGGTCTCAGAGATGCCAGTGACGGTCAAGGAAGATGAACTTGCTGAGGTGAGCACAGAGCTGCCTCCTAAGAGAGGAGGGGACATGCCTGGTGGAGGTGCTAGGTTGGACAGCATGCAGCATCACTGCTTTCTGTGAAGCACTGGACCTCGAGCGCTGACAGGATGTGCAGGGGGAGGAAGATGACAGGAAGGAAAGGGGCCAGGGAGGAGATGGAGGGAAAATATCAAAGGGCACTGAGAGAGAGATGGAGGGCAGGAAGAAAGACAAGGGCTAATCAATATGCCCAGAAAAGTTGGGGTTTTTTTGAGAGTCTCTGTGCTTCAGGGTTGAGTTCTGAAACTGGGAATTACAGTTGGGCTATTTCTAGCAGAAAGATTTGAGTTTCATAAGTGAGTAAACACTGGCTGCCCTGCTGGGACGTTACATTTATCTAACTTGTCCTCCTTTTCTCAGCAGAAGCTGAAGACCAGCACCAAGGAGTCCTCCTGGGTCTCCTCGGGGCAGTCAGAGGAGGGCGCCACTCGGTCTGACACACAAACCACTGTATGAACTTGAGGCAGGCCTTCCACTGGCTCCAGAAAAGAGTCCTCACTTGTTTGGGGAGGAGAGTGAGGGTCAGCAGCCCATGAAAAACCCCAACCAAGAAAAATCTTCATACCTCTGAGTATATTCACCCCAAAGAAACCCCCACTGATTAGCATAATCCCAATCCCCAGAGTTTTAAGCAGTTTGATGGCCTCACTTCTACAATTCCTATAGGTTCATTGTTCTCAATATAATAAATGTTCTTGTTTTCCTTGTCTGCTTCTTCCAGTATATCTTCTTGATGCAGGCTGAAAATGGCCATGTTGTGTAGAGGACCAAAATGCATTCTCAGCAATGTGCAGGTAGCATGGTGCTTCCTGAAGAGAAGGTGTGCTGCTTGTCTCCTTTCATCTCTGCTTCCCAGGTTTTATTCGATTTCATCCACCCTTAGCCATTTCAGGGATTTCATCCTGTTTTGTCACTAACTCACATGCCCATATTTAGAGAGCAGGAGTGCCAACATCAGACTAGCACCAGGGTGGTGCGCTTTGGTGGTGATCAGCTAGGGGTGATCAGCTGAGCAAGCAACGGTACAGATCCAGCCACTCAGGAAGCCAACTCCAGTTGGCACTGTTTGGGGTGTGCAGAAAGCAATTCTCATGGTCCGGGGGCACCAGGCTTCCTCTAGTGTCTTGCTGACTCCTACAAACAACAGAGATCTTCATCCATTTCTCCTTTAGATTAAAGAGGAGAAAGTCTTGGTGTTAGGATGAGACACTCAGAACCACCATAGGGAAAGAGGACAAACACAATCCTGGGCCCTTAATCCACTGCTTACGATTTGTGTTTATTGGAGTCAGGGACTCAAAAACTATTTTGGCTAAAAAATGTCACAATAACCCATCTCTTGGGCCTACAGATGTCAAAGTATTTACTGTTTACATAAAAATGTTAATGTTTCCTCCCCTAATCTTTGTTACTTTCCATAAATAACAGGGAGGAAGAACAAAAATATTACACAAAGTTGTTAATAATGAAATTTCAACCATGCCCAGTGGCACACTCCTGCAGTCCTAGGTACTTTGGAGGGTAAGGCAGGAGGACCCAAAGTTCAAGGCCAGGCTAGGAAAATCAGTGACAACCTTTCTCTGATTAAAATAGACAAGGTGCTGGGGAAAAGTCTGGTGGTAGGATGAGGTCTTTGGCTCAATTCTAGCACCAAAACAATTTAACTACTGCAGCCCAAGGCTGGGTTTAGGGTTCATTTTCTGACCTAATACCTGGTGGGCCATGGCTTTGTTGCCTTGGGTGACAATCATTGGATGGATGTAGAAGCGTTTATTTTCATTGTTCTGGAGGTTGGAAGTCCACAATTAGAGTGCAAGCAAAATTTGAGGTTCAAAGTTTACATAGGGGCTGCAATAATCCTAGAAAGAAACTTGGGGGTTTGTCTTGAAACCGTATCTACAAATGGTTTCTTCTGAGGCTGTATGCTCACTTGAGCACTCCACAAGATGCAGTTCACGGTTACAGGCACACAGGCTACCCCTGGAGTAGCCACTACTCTTAAAAAGATACTTTGTCTCTGAGATGTTTTTCATTTTAATTTAATTAATTTATTTATGTGTTTATTATTTTGATGGTGCTGGGGTTCAAGGCCACAGCCTAAAGCATGCTAGGCAAATGCTTTATCACAGAACTATACCCCAGCCTCTATCTCCCACATCTTAGTTTTTACTTGTGAAAAATGTGGATTTGGGCAATGGACAAGTTTCTTTCAGGTTTAATATTTTATGTGTGTGGTTTTTTTAAGCTATGAAACCGCCCCCAACCTTTGGCTATTGGAGTTAAAATGTGACATTGCCTTTATTATTTCATCTGTAATGCTACAATTTATTTAGACAAAACTGGCCACAGAATTCAAATTGTCTTCGCTGTCCTACAGTTTTCTGTATGATTGCATAGAGCAATACAGAGAAGGAATTTCTATCTACCCTCTGATCCCCAAGAACAAAGAAACCTGACAGTCTCTCATCACCATCTCTGGGCCACCAATAAACTCTGGAAATAAGCTTCTAACTCTCTAGGGAAAACTATTTCCTACCTTGGGGAAAGAAGTGAAGAGCACTCCTTGGGCCTTTCCTTAGCACAGCATGCAGCACAGTGCTCCACGGGTATCTTCCTGCTGACTTCACTTTCACCTTCCTTATCCCCAGGGGTAGGACTTGCTGTCCCTACCGAAGCAGTGGGAAGCAGAAAAACCAACCCCCTGCTCAGACTGGAACAAACACTGTTTGCACAGGTGAAGATCTCACTAACCATCTGCACAGCATTTGTTGGCAAGGGGTGCACTGCAGGGGAGGGGACTCTAACACTACCTCATCTCCCTACTTGGCCATCAGAAAGCCCACAACAAGGCCCCACCCTCCACAGGGACAGCAGATCATGGGTGCTCTACAGCTTTAGACAGCTACACAGGCTCGCAGAACTGCAAGCCCCCAAACAGGCATTTGGCAGGAGAAGCTGGACACTTGCATGTAGACAGGACTCACACAACAACTTGCAGAAATCCCTGGCTTCACCTTCAGAAGACACCAAAAGTATAAAGACTTGACAGACCCAGTAAGCTTTTCTCCTGTCTAAAAGACAATGGTTTTTTCCAATTAGATTGCTAAAATTCCTTAAAGAGCTCTGAAAATAAAACCTGACCCAGTTGTTCATTCTGTGAAACTTAATTACCTGTCTTATAGATGCTAAGAAGCTGGAAGAACGTTTTCAAATGGGAAGGGGGACAAGAGATTGAGGAGGAAGAGGGAAGGAAAGGAAAAGGGATTTAGAGAAAGACAAAGGAATTGAATGGAAAAAATGGAACTAGAGCTTTTGTAAATGGGGAGGGGGCGAAGGGCTGGAGGGAGTGGAGGGGAAGGGGACAAAAATAATTAAGATGTGTTATGTTCATGTACAAGTCCCCAGTGATAAATGTCACTATAAACCTCAAGCATGTACTAGTAAACCTTTTAAAAATTAATTGCCTCTCATATATTTGAATATTAACTAACAGTAAAGTACGAAAGAAACATTTTTACTGCACGCCAAGTCCAGAATTTATTTTTATGCAGTTTTCCAGTAACAACTCACCACCACAAGTTATTAAAGAAAGATCGAATTTGTCTTGATTTCGTGGTACTGGGAATGGAAGCAAGAGCCTCACTCATGGGCCTCGCTCGTGCTAGGCATGTGCTCTGCCACTGAGCTACACACTTAGCGAGGACTTGTCAAAGTGAGACAATGGGTGCCGCTAAATAAGCCATCTGTTCTGCACATAATGAAGTGACTGTGTACGTTCAAATAAAGCAAGAAAAGCCAGAGACTGCAGAGTGTGAGATGCTTAGACGCTTCATCAGTATAATTTAAATCGTAATACTTTCTTTCCAAGGTCTTTTTCAACCCGTTTGTTATGGTTTGGGTCTGGATGTCCCCCTAAAGCCTCATGCAGTTTTGAGTGGGGCTTTTTCAGAGGTGACTGGATCTAGAGTGTGTGCTGCTGGAGTAGATTCATGGTACAAGCTAAGCCCAAGAGCACTAGGCTTAAGGGTGTGAGTGTTAGCCGCCCTAAGTAGTTTGAATATTATCTTGTTATACATGATATTGCTTTGTTGCTTTGCTACCTTGTGGGAGGCACAAATTGTTCTCCTCTGAGATCCCCCTCTGCCATGTGCCACTCTGCCTTGGAGCCAGCCAATTATGGACTGAAACCTCTATGAACTGTGAGCTAAATAAACCTTTCCTCCTTTAACTTTGGGTATTTTGTTTCAGCAATGAGAAAAGTAACCAAGACACTGTTATATAAGGGAAGGGAATACAGGATAAAAAAATTGAACTATTGCCCACCAAATGAAGGGCTGCTTAGGATTACGAACCAGGATTTCTACCCTTTGTACTGCTACTCCTTGCATAAGCCCTGAGACAAATAAATAAATAAAACCATTTAATGATACAACAGTTCTACAGTATTTGTCCCACGTATGTCCAGAGAAGAAAATTTACCCCCTTCACTTTGCTGAGGCAGTTTAGCAAAGCCTTCCTTTAAATCTTTTCTTCTTGCTGGACATGGCGGGACATGCCTGTAATCCCAGCTCATGGGAGGCGGAGGCAGAAGGATTGTAAATTGTCAGTCAGTCTGACACAGCGATACTCTGTCTCAAAACAAACAAAATGTTCTTTTCATTTATTCTTTTCCGCACTAGGTATTGAACCCAAGGGCCTCTACACTGAACACATTATACAACCTTTTATTATTATTATTATTATTATGAAAAGGTTAGTGATGCTTTGGGAGGTTCAGAACACAATATGGATATTTCCATTATTTCTTATGGGAAAAATAGTCTTGACTTACAACCAATTTGGGTTATGACCAGTCCTTGAGAATGAATTGAGTTTGTAAGTCAAGGGTCCACTATACTGCATTAACTCTGGGTGTGCGTCCATTCATGGATTCTTGTTATAAAATTGTGATAGGAAAACTATAGAAATCTAATATCTTCCTAAGGTGGGATCACATGATTCTTTTACATGAGGCTGAAAAGCAATAGGATTTGGTTAGGTTGGGGATGGTCCCAAATCTTGGCTAAAGATAGGTCCACAATCCCCTGGACTAGGGTGTGAAATTCTGTTGCTGGAAGGCTTCATGATTTACCATTCTGCCAAAAACAGGGCAGATACTGCTGTCTAGAAGCTCTTTTCTTTTGAAGGCAGAAAGTTTTATGGGATGACCTGATGAATTTAGCCTAGAAACTGAATTGGACACAAAATTTGAGGGGATAAGTTGTGATACCATTGAGCTAAGTGACAAGGACACGGTGGCAACTTTTCAATATGCCAAAGAGAAACCAGAACAAATAGAAACCTGTAGGTGCAAACCAGTTGGCCCCTTGCCTCCACTCCATTGCTGCTGTTCTTGATCTACTTTGCCCCAGGTCCCTTGGCAGACAAAAGGACCTAGATACTTTTTCTTTCTTTCTTTTTTTTGGGGGGGTACTGGGGTTCGAACTTGGTACCTTGTGCTTGCGAGGCCGGTGGTGGAACCACTGAGCTAAATCCCCGGCCCAAAGGGACCTAGATACTAATGGTCATGTGTCACATAGTAATGTCTCAGTCAAAAACAGACTGCATATACAACAT